CTAAACTATATCAAAATAAAAACCGAGTGTATACCCACATAATTAAGCCAGATGATCATGATCAATTACTCAACTATACCATCTGGGGTCTATGTGTTGAGCCCACTGAGCACAATAGGGCTAATCCGGACGCTGTGGCCATCGTTGAGCGTGAAATGAGCGACATATACGGCAAGGAGTGGCGCGATTCGGGTAATTTGTCATATTATCAGACCCTGATGCATCGCACCGATAATCACGAGTTGTTTAGCGCGATTAATTTTTGTGGCGTATTCATTATCTTATTTGATGATTACCTTGATAACATTTTCGATATTGACGAAATACGGTATTATAAAAATATACTTATAAATCATGCATTTGTATCGTGTTTATAGCATAAAAATTCATGGTTTATTTAAATAGCATGTTTGTTAAAACAATTTTATTTTATAGCCAATGGCAGCATAAATACAGGACCGGACAGTCCGATGGACAGACACCGATGGACCGGATGCTCGTCAAAGCCATCGCTCGTTTGAATCACTGGTTAAGCATTGAACAAATGCGTCGACACGCCAACTATGTATGCGATTTTATTGAGACCTACATCACTCTTATGCAATTCAAATTGAGCCCAAATGAGCATGGTGATATTATGTCTTACGAAGAGTTTCTAGCGCTCAGGTATGTTAAGCATAATTACAATTATGTTTAAAATAAATCTACCGTAATATAAACTATACTGTATATATTTACAGACAAGCGGACAGTTTATACAACTTGCTATTTTTATTCACCGAGCTCAGTTCTGGATTTGATCCGCACCAACACGGTATGGGCGACAGCGAGCTATTAGAGGCGTTTACGGTCGCGTGCGGTAAACACTGTACGCTGACAAACGAGCTCTACTCGTTTAGAAAAGAGGTGCGCGCGGGCGCCGGAGATTACAATTATATGTACTTGATCATGTGCAGGGAGGGCTGCACGGCCCAGGTGGCCGCTAATAGGATCGTGATGGAATTGCATGATATATGGGCACTTGGCGTTAATTATGGGGCTCAGTTAAAAGCCTTGGCCAACCCGGCGTTGGACCAGTATGTGTCCGAAGCCCTCCACACTGTTAAGGGACACCTGTATTGGGCGTCGATATGCCGTAGATATAAATGATATAGGTGATTCGATTTATATCATTTTAATTGACTTATAAATTTTAGTTTATTAATTATTAATAATTTTATTAATATGAATTTCTCTGTGCAAGAAACACATCTTTGAATGCTTTCATAGCACTCCTGCTTCACTGCAATACTATCAAAGGAGGCAATGCTTAACTGTAATGCTTCAGTATAACTCATAGCCACGCTTTGCTAGTATTGCGGTTAAGCATTGCCTCCTTTAATAGTATTGCAGTGAAGCATGAGTGCTATGAAAGCATTCAAAGATGTGTTTCTTGCACAGAGAAATTCATATATGCTCATAAAATTAGATTTATATAAGTTATCATTAAATAAATTATTTATAATAACTTAATGACGAACTTTGTAAAATCAAATACTGTTTACGTTAAGTTAAAGCTTATCATTGGGTTATCATTAAGAAAATTAGTTATTTTAACTGATTTTAAAGATTAGATAAAATAAAATGAAAAAATGTGCAAAAAGTAAAATTTAAAGTTAAAGAAAAAATACAACATTTAGTCCTTGAATATAATAAACGCTGTAAACGTGTGTATGAATTAATTAACACACATTTACTTTGCGATATTACATAGCTGATTTATTATACACACTGTAATTTTAACCTTCATAATTCATGTGGTAATAAGGTTTTAATGCTGTGTTAAAAATATTTTAACAATCTGTTGGTATTTATTTGTGTACTAAAAATATCGTTATATTATTTTTTGTGTGCATTTTATTGATATAAATTGCTAAATATATAATTTTGAATATAATGAACTCGTTGTTATTAGCGGATAGTGTTTACCACAATCCTGTATTAACGCTAAACAATGCCGATAATGTTGATAAAGTAAGTAACTTGAGGTATATTTTACTTTTTACTCCTATATTAATTATAATTTACATTCAATACAGGATTCAAGCGCCGATGATAATTAATTAATACCAATATGTTTTTTTATTATAACTAAAACTTATGTATTTTA